AGTTCAGTTAGATTCATAAGTGGTACTCAAGTGAGTATGGTGTGGTTTAACTTCAGTTAGATTCATATGTGGTACTCAGGTGAGTATTGTGTGGTTTAACTTCAGTTAGATTTATATGTGGTACTCAGGTGAGTATGAGATGGTTTGAGTTCAGTTAAATTCATATGTGGTTCTCAGGTGAGTATGAGATGGTTTGAGTTCAGTTAGATTCATATGTGGTACTCAGGTGAGTATGAGATGGTTTGAGTTCAGTTAAATTCATATGTGGTTCTCAGGTGAGTATGAGATGGTTTGAGTTCAGTTAGATTCATAAGTGGTACTCAGGTGAGTATGAGATGGTTTGAGTTCAGTTAGATTCATATGTGGTACTCAGGTGAATATTGTGCTGATCTGAGTTCAGTTAGATTCATATGTGGTACTCAGGTGAGTGTGAGATGGTTTGAGTTCATTTAGATTTATAAGTGGTACTCAGGTGAGTATGGTATGGTTTAAGTTCAGATAGATTTATATGTGGTACTCAGGTAAGTACGGTATGATTTAAATTCAGTTAGATTTATATGTGGTACTCAGGTAAGTATAGTATGGTTTAAGTTCAGTTAGATTCATATGTGGTACTCAGGTGAGTATGAGATGGTTTGAGTTCAGTTAAATTCATATGTGGTACTCAGGTGAGTATGATGTGGTTTAAGTTCAGTTAGATTTATATGTGGTACTCAGGTAAGTATGAGATGGTTTGAGTTCAGTTAGATTTATATGTGGTACTCAGGTAAGTATGAGATGGTTTAAGTTCAGTTAGATTCATACAATGTATGTGGTACTCAGGTGATTATGGTTTAAGTTCAGTTAGATTCATATGTGGTACTCAGGTGAGTATGGTGCTGGTCTGAGTTCAGTTAGATTTATATGTGGTACTCAGGTAAGTATGGTATGGTTTAAGTTCAGTTAAATTTATATGTGATACTCAGGTAAGTATGGTATGGTTTAAGTTCAGTTAAATTTATATGTGATACTCAGGTAAGTATGGTATGGTTTAAGTTCAGTTGAATTTATATGTGATACTCAGGTAAGTATGGTATGGTTTAAGTTCAGTTAAATTTATATGTGGTACTCGGGTAAGTATGGTATGTTTTAAGTTCAGTTAAATTTATATGTGATACTCAGGTAAGTATGGTATGGTTTAAGTTCAGTTAGATTTATATGTGGTACTCAGGTAAGTATGGTGCTGGTCTGAGTTCAGTTAGATTTATATGTGGTACTCAGGTAAGTATGGTATGGTTTAAGTTCAGTTAAATTTATATGTGATACTCAGGTAAGTATGGTATGGTTTAAGTTCAGTTAAATTTATATGTGATACTCAGGTAAGTATGGTATGGTTTAAGTTCAGTTAAATTTATATGTGATACTCAGGTAAGTATGGTATGGTTTAAGTTCAGTTAAATTTATATGTGGTACTCAGGTAAGTATGGTATGTTTTAAGTTCAGTTAAATTTATATGTGGTACACATGTGAGTATGAGATGGTTTGCGTTCAGTTAGATTCATATGTGGTACTGAGGTAAGTATGGTGTGGTTTAAGTTCATTTAAATTTATATGTGGTACACAGGTGAGTATGAGATGGTTTGTGTTCAGTTAGATTCATATGTGGTACTGAGGTGAGTATGGTATAGTTTAAGTTCAGTTAAATTTATATTTGGTACTCAGGTGAGTATGAGATGGTTTGCGTTCAGTTAGATTCATATGTGGTACTCAATAAGTATGGTGCTGGTCTGAGTTCAGTTAGATTCATATGTGGTACTCAGGTGAGTATGGTGCCGGTCTGAGTTCAGTTAGATTCATATGTGGTGAGTATGGTATTATTTGAGTGCAGTTAGATTCATACAATGTATGTGGTATTTAGGTGAGTATGCCACGCTGGTCTGATTTGAGTTAGATTCTTATGTGAATTTTTATATGAATATGGAGGTATGTATGGGGGTCTAAAAACTAACTCTGCGACGCGATTGTGCGACTCGCCGAATGTCGATTATTGCACTCTGAGACAGGATCGCAGTGTCACTCTACGAAGAGCACGATTCCCATTGGTTGGTTGGTCGAAAAGCGCGAATCTCAATGGTCGATCGATGTAAGGGTACACAGCATGCCTTATAAAAATGTTCAGTTTTAAATGGTTATTTCGCGGACTGTTCGCGAACTACGGTAAACAAGTATTTATCGACGATATGCCGCACGGTTCGGTAATCAGCAAGTATTTAACATTGATTTATTAACTTATAAAACATCCCCTGGAGGGGATGAAAGGGGTTACAAAACACATGCACGTTGGTGTTGGCTACATTATTACGGTGTAACATCAGGGAACTGGTAACATTAACGCCATCTTAATGTTGTAAGGCATCGTCCGCAACTATGCTCATTAGCATAGGCGGCAGCTTTAAAGCGAGTAGAGCGTAAAGTACGTTTCACACGATGTTACGTGTTTTTTTTTTGTCATTAGCAAGTATAATTTGTTATGACTATATTCATCGCTTTGAATTCCCAAATAAAGCATGTAGCGGGTCAAACTGTTTCTAGGCAATCAATATCGTTTTATTAAGAATATTAGGAGAGAAAAAACGTAAAGCTGTGTGAATGGATTGCAACTACTGCTAAAGATAGAAAACTAAAACGGCAGTGCCAACGGAAAATTAGATGGGTGCACGCTCTCTGCATAAACGGAAATGATGGCTTTGTTTATTTGGCCGATGTTGACGAGCAACAGATTTCCCGTACTCACTTCCTCGTCTGATCACCGGCTCTCAATGGTCTCACGTATCTGTGTCGTCATCGGTTAAGTAGTTGAAATTCTTTTGCGTTGATGCGAATATTTAGTCCCTCGTCTGTCATTGGCGTCTTTGCTTTCTTTCTTTTCATCGTCATTGTGTTAGTAAGATGGTATTATTAAAATAGAATATAGACATAGAAAATAAAACGATTTCTCAAACGAAGTCTTGATAGATAATAATGCTAACAATGGAATTTAGATAAATATGCATTGTTTGCAACAGGAAGCTTGTCACCCGTTCTATCAGAATCGTCAACCGGTAGTATACATATACATGTACATACACATGTATTATAAACATTATGCAAATATTAACGAAACGGTAGTAGTGTTAGCGTTTGAGCACTGGTCTTTCCGAAATTTCGAAAAGCTGGGATGAAGAATCAAGGTACAAAGTAACCGTTTTATCAATTATTGAGAAATCAAGAGAAAAAAGAAAATTTCCCTTCCCGCTACATTAAGATCAATATGGCGTTCATTTAAAAAAATAAACCATAATTTTCAGTAATACTGACTTCGAAAATTATGATACAAAAATAATTACATTCATACCACAAACCAACGCCATTTTTGTTTACTTTTCACAACTGTTTACTATTTCGATTGTAGACCACAAGTTTTGAATCCGTTTATGATCTAAACGAAGACAGACGATTGCAAACAACTGCTGTCATGGCAAAAAATTGGCACATCGTGAATGATTTTTTTTTCACTGCATGCATTATTTTCCTTGATGCACTCAACAATGTCAAAGCAGACGTGCAAAATTCGTTGCAGAACGCGTGAAAAGTACTTGCGTTCCACTCGCTTTGAAGCTGCCGCCTATGCTAATGAGCATAGTCGTCAGACGAAGCCTTACAACTCCAAGATGGCGATAACGATACACCGTAAATAGGCAGTCAAAACCAACGTGCATGTTACACTATTTATTTTTTCTAACCAGTGGTGTTATTTGTTTGTTCCCACAATTTGTCTTCCATGTGCTTGCCGATCAGTGCCGCATGTCGTCGGTACATAGTGTTTACACACTTTTTTTACCGTACCATTTTTACCATTGAAAACAAAATTTTTTATAAGGCATGTGGTGAACATCGACCATTGTGATTCGCGCTGTTGAACCAAGCAACCAATAGGAATCGTGCTCTTCGTAGAGTGACACTGCGATCCTATCGCAGAGTGCAATAATTGACATTTGACATTAGACATTAGACCCCATGCATACATGGAATATGGGATTGTCTAACTTCAAATAGATTTTTATGTGGTACTCAGGTAAGTATGAATTGTAATGTATACTGCACAGTTTTCTCATTTCCAATGGTTTTAGATAACCACTTTGAAACATATACTTTATTTCTAAACAGGATATTCACAAAGAGCTTGAAAGCAAGATTGCCAAGTTCCATAATCGTGATGACGCAATTCTATATGCTAGCTGCTTTGATGCTAATGCTGGAATATTTGAGCATTACTAACACCAGAGATGCAGTATTTTCTGATGACT